CACGGAAAAAACGAGTTTAGGGCTGGTACCTGCGCCGAAGGTCCCAGCCCTAACCGGGTAGGTAAAATTGCTTCACCTCCACCGCCATAGGAGCAGGCCCGGCGCGCGTAGAGCCCGAATCTACCTGCTCCAGGGTTCAGCCCTACCTGGTAAGAGCTAGACCCTGTCCAGGTAGGGCTGGGACTTACCCGCGCAGGGCCTGCCCCTGTGGCGGTGGAGGTGAAGCAATTCTAGGGCCCAGCCCTAATCTCGTTTTTTCAGTGTCGGACGCTGAAAAAAAGCTGTATAATTTCACAGATATTCATAAAGGATTATACCTGACAAACTAAGTCTTTGGACGGGGTAAGATCTCCAGCTTCGTAGAGCTTACGCAAAAATCCTGATCAACAATAATAAAGAACACGGTAAACAAACTGGATTTTTTTAAGTAAGAGCATGAGCTTTGACAAATCAGTTTAGAATTTGTCATTTCATATCTCCCGCTCGTGGAAAGATTTCAAATTTACCGTAAGTAAAACTATATTAATGTCGATGGCTAAGGTTGAAACATGCTTATTTCTATCTGTAACGTTAAAAATCCCTTCTTGTTTTTCCTTTATACATAAGATCTAGGATTAGGACTGAAGAAAGATGACTCATATTGAGGGATTATCACCTTGCGAGGCAGATTTTAAAAGTGGCAAATCAGGTAATGGAAGCAGTGAGCTTAGGAAAAAATATGAACCGAAGAATTATCTAATGGATTACTTCCATAAAAAGCTGGGCGCGATTGACTTATTATTATTTTTTTTTTAAATTTCTGGTTACATAAGTTTTAGGACGAAGAAAACCATAGACTTTTTTAATATCTTGAGCTTTTTTTAATACAGCTTTTTCTGACATTTTTCCAAGGAAAATACCTCACTGAAAAAAATGCGCCCGTAGTACTCTCGTAAATCGCTATTTTCAAAAGTATGGTATTATATTTTCATGAAAAGAATTCTCTTTAATCCAAAAAATGTCCGAATATCTTGGATTCCTGTACATTAATGTACATGTATTTGGTGCTTTGATTCTCCCTATATAATAGCTCATTTAATTCGAAAAAAGTGTAAATGCTTTGATGAAGAAAAAGACAAAAATACAATTTGAATGAATTTATGGATTTGCCGTCCCAGTTTACAACACAAACCAAATAATTCAAAGTGCATCATTGGAAGAATCAACGTGTTGATAAAATAGCGCCGGTGTCTATAACTTGTATACGTGCCTGTATAGGAAACAAATCAATAACAAATCGATGGAATCTATAGAGGAATCCTCGACCCGTTGAAAATCCAATTTGTAAACTTACTTTTGTTATCGCTGTCGTCATCTCGTTTTTTCGACCAAATATCTTTAGTTCCTCCTTAATTATGGCTTTGTAGCTGCATACGTCTAAATATTCTCGAAAATTCCGGGCGGTTGAGGAAGAAAAGCGCCATATCGAAAAATGCAACCAAATTCCTTGAAAAATGAATTCAGTGATGTATTAATCCAGTCATGACCAAATTGAGTTGATTACTAAATATCAATCCACGTACCAAATTTTTACCCCTATTTGTTTTTTCAATGCTGTTTGCAGTCACTTGTGCAAAAGAATATACATTCTAAATAGCGGATTTACTTTTGATTTGACCAAAAATCCGATTAAATCAATGAGTATTTACTATCGTCTTTTATAAGAGTCTGGACTCTAGATCCAAGAGGCTCTTTTTCCTACGAATATTTCCACGAATTGTATATCATCAGTTTTTAGAGCACCCTGAGAAAATTTTAAGCCGTAAAATTGGCTCAAACCCCCTGTAAAAAAATAAAATAGAGGCGGAAATTTTTTTTTGGGGGGGGGAACCCCAATCAAAAACCGTGTTTTAATAGATTCTGCATTCCACCGTGCTAATCAAATACGCCGTATGAAAATTCGGACGTTGCCAGATGTTATTTTACTAAATAATTATTTAAGAGACAAGTTTTGTTCATTTCTCTTTGAAATTTTCAGAAATTTTAGATTCAATCAAGAATAAACTCTGTGAAAAAATGAAAGAAGAATCATGCATTAATTCTGGAGAAAATTTACTTTTTACTAGCAGAGATTTGGCAACATTCAGGTGTTCATACGACGTTTTTCCGTAGCACAACAGCATAGCTTCTTCAACGAGTAGGCGAAGCTGATCATGGAATGAGGAACTCGGACAGTCGATCACGAAAACGGCGCAAACTCCACGGCAGTGACTTCCACCTTCGCCGTAGACGAACAAGTGTGAAGACAAAAGTACTTACCGAGCTTGCACGGGCCGTCGATTCCCATAATTAAAACATTTTAATTACCGCCGGACAGTTTCTTGTGCTTTGACACCGGACTGGCACCAACGGTCGCCAGCTTGCACTGAAAATGGGTGCTTTTTGGTGTAAAATACAGGGTCTCCTAGGGTTCAATCGACGGATATTGAAATAAAATTATTTGAATAGAATGAAAATAGATTTGCTCCTATATATAAATTTTTTCTGTCGAAGACCCCC